TCTCTCTCTCTCTCTCTCTCTCTCTCTCTCTCTCTCTCTCTCTCTCTCTCTCTCTCTCTCTCTCTCTCTCTCTCTCTCTCTCTCTCTCCATTTCGATCGTGAATTTTCGTGTGAATCTGTCGATGCGGTTCTTTAACGTGAACTTGGTGTGTCCATGATGTCGGGATTGGGAACGATGTAACCATCTTTCCAAACCCTCGCAAGGTTTTATGTTTGCAAGGTCCAAATCATGCGTGCAAACGCCATTTTTTCCATAAGGCGTGAAAACGGCTTTTTTTTTTAACAAGATCCAAATCAATCGTGAAAACGGATTTTGTCCATCATGCATGAAAACGGTTCTTTTTACATCTTTCCATCATGCGTGAAAACAACTTTTTTTTTCCTCCAAATCATGCCTGAAAGCTCTCTCTCTCTCCATCATGCGTGAAAACGATTCTTCTTCCATCTTTCCATCATGCGTGAAAGCTCTCTCTCTCTCCATCATGCGGGAAAACTCTCTCTCTCCATCATGCGTGAAAACGACTCTTTTTCCCCAATATGCAATTCACTTTTTTTCTTTGTATGTCTTTTTTTTGTCGATAGCACAGACAAACCACCAATGACGGCCATGTGGCCCTTTTCCGGCGACAGCCAGTGGAGAAACGAAACGAAAATAAGAAAGCAGTGGACAAAGCATAGCAAAAATGTACAAAGTGTAGCATTCATCGTCTGTGCCAGTGTTTCTACTGAAAAATGGCTTGTTTTTTGGCAACATCCTATTCAATTCATTTCTCCATTTGTATGTTTTTTTTCCTGTCGATAGCACAAAGCGGACGGACTAAATGTTCGTGGCGAACCACCAATGACGGCCACGTGGCAAGCGTACAACCCATGCTCCGAAGGTGGTCGACCATTTTCGGCGAGAGACAGAGGACAACTGACAACGGAAAAAAAAATAATAATTAAAAAAAAAAGCAGTGGACAAAGCATAGCAAAACCGAAGAGGATTGGGAACCATGTAAGCGTCTTTCCAAACCCTCGCACGTTTGTTTTTCGCAAGGTCGAAATCAAGCGTGAAAACGTGAGGAGCTTTGACACAACTTAGGTTGTCTCTCTCTCTCCCCCCCTCTCTCTCTCTCTCCCTCTCTCTCTCTCTCTCTCTCTCTCTCTCTTTCTCTCTTTCTCTCTCTCTCTCTCTCTCTCTCTCTCTCTCTCTCTCTCTCTCCCTCCATTTCGATCGTGAATTTTCGTGTGAATCCGTCGATGCGGTTCTCTAACGTGAACTTGGTGTGTCCATGATGTCGGGATTGGGAACGATGTAACCATCATTCCAAACCCTCGCATGGATGACAAGTTCGGAAGGTCCAAATCATGCGTGCAAACGCCTTTTTTTCCATAAGGCGTGAAAACGGTTCTTTTTTTAACAAGATCCAAATCAATGTATCTAAACGGATTTTGTCCATCATGCGTGAAAACGATTTTTTTTACATCTTTCCATCATGCGTGAAAGCTCTCTCTCTCCATCATGCGTGAAAATGACTCTTCTTCCATCTTTCCCTCATGCGTGAAAACGACTTTATTTCCCCAATATCCAATTCACTTTTTTTCTCTGTATGTCTGTTTTCTGTCGATAGCACAGACGGACCAGCAATGACGGCCACGTGGCCCTTTTACGGCGACAGGCAGTGGAGAAACGAAACGAAAATAAGAAAGCAGTGGACAAAGCATAGCAAAAATGTACAAAGTGTAGCATTCATCGTCCGTGCTTCATCATGCGTGGAAATGGCTTATTTTTTTCGCAAGATCCTATTCAATTCATTTCTCCATTTGCATGTTTTTTTTCCTGTCGATAGCACAAAGCGGACGGACTAAACGTTCGTGGCAAACCACCAATGACGGCCACGTGGCAAGCATACAACCCACACTCCGAAGGTGGTCGCCCATTTTCAGCGAGAGTCAGAGGACAAATCATAGCAAAAGCGAAGAGGATACATCGCTTGTTTTTTTGCCTTTATTATGAAACATACGGCGCTTTGGCAATCTCACCCTTCGAAAACAGTATGCATGACAAAACTTTTTACCATGCCTCGCAATATTCGAGGAACATGTGCCACTCACCAGACACAATATACATCACATAACTTTTTACCGTGCCTCGCAATATTCAATGAACATTACCTTCGCCACACGTGGCGGGTTCACGAAAGTGGGGAACACAGTGGACTCAGAAGGAGCAAAAAATTGGGAAGATGGCGTGAGAAAAAAGTGGAATGGAAAACAGAAGGGTATTCAACTTCGCGTCCATTGATATTAACCAATTCCATACACAGCCGGTTCCGTGAGTAAGTCAGTGTTGTACGTGCATCGACTCCGCTGAAGCGGATCTACGTCCATTGAGGGAAGAGGCGAATTCCATACACAGTCGGTAGACTAAGTCACCTCTACCATCTGCACACCTCAACGGCGACATGGTCTCTCTCTCTCTCTCTCTCTCTCTCTCTCTCTCTCTCTCTCTCTATCTATCTATCTATCTATCTATCTATCTATCTATCTATCTATCTATCTATCTATCTATCTAACCTCCTCCGTCTACGGAACACGCTCTCAAGAACATCACCCCGACGGCGGGGCAGACGGCGGGGCGGATGACCGCCCCACGGAAAAATCAACAGGCTGCCAATTCGACTCGTCCCAGAAAGACGCAGTGAGGCTAAGAAGGTCGTTAGTAATCTGAAGATGGGCGATCTCCTTCTCCATCTCTTTCATCATCCGAATGAGATCCTCGCAATTGCAACACGTGGCCCCATGTCCACCCTGTGTCGTTGATGAGCTGGCCGCACCTTTTCCGTTTCCACCGACGCGAAGAGCTTCGAATTCATGACACAAATCGTTGTCACCATCAGTCCCCACCACCACTCCACGCACAATGTCGTCGTAGAACCTCCAAGCGGTTTCAGCCTGCTCATGTGCCACTTGCACATCTACTTCGGCCGCCTCGCACCTCGACATAGCTTCGTCCCTGTCTCGAACTGCTGCGTGCAAGGCTCAGGTAGTGTCGCGTACCTCCGCCCGGCTCTCGTCCCACATTCGTCTCCATTGCTCATTGTCTCGTCGGATTTGGAGGTTGTGGATAACAAGTTCGTCGCAGCAATGTCGGAGACTATCCCTTGAAGCACGAAGTCTCTTCAGAACGGAACTTGCCCATCTCCGAGCGTGAATGTTCTCTAGCGACATCTCAGTTTCAGAAACAGTTCTGCCGCAACGCATGGTGACTGTGATGCTATCACCCCTCTCCACTAAGTACTTGTGGACTCGTTCAACCTCCCTCTCCATCTTCTCCATTTCGCTCAGCACCTCACGCCTCTCCCTCACAAAGTCCCTCCCCGCCATTGGTCCTTTGTAAGGAACCTAGCAGAACCCAACGATCTGTTGCACCACAACAAAGATGAAAGAAGCCGACAGCAAGTGAGCAGCCGTTCGGGCGAGAACGGTACATGAATGACCACCAAAGGGAAGATTAGTAACCGTGCCATAGTGGTCTACTCGTGAGGCCCATATCACTGCTCCCTCTGGATCTCATACAAGCGGACAACTTTTGCACACAGCGCATCTCTCACGGCCTGCCCGCGTTCGCGACCGAACATGAATTCAAGTGGTAATCCCACACTTCCTTATCCTCCACAGGGAGGAGGTGTGTCGGGGGAAGATGCATCAGACAACTCCAAGTCCTCTTGCGGCATGTCTCCCCATTCCTGAAATAGATTGTGGAGAATACAACAGGCTTCGAATTCCAAACCCTCCCTCGTTATATCGGTCACATTCGGGCGATAGAAGAACTGGAACCGCATCTTGAAGACTCCAAAAAAACGCTCCACGCAAGATCTCACTATCTTGTGGAGTGCATCGAACTGTTGCATGGCCATCRTGACATTGGGTGCCTGCCCGTAAGGAGTGACAATCCAGGGTAGACTTGGATACCCGCMATMGGCGAGCAAGTACCCGCCAGGGACACCGGCAATTGCCGGCCTGTCAAGAGCGAACGGATCAGCGGGGTCGTCCAGGAATAGAGAACCTTGCAGACCGCGCTTATAGAGTGACGTCGACTTCAACGCGCGTCCATCACCAACAGTCCCTGGGAATCCATAGCAGAAGTCCAGGATCTTCAGTTCGGAGTCGACCACCAACTGCGCAACAATGGAGAACCTGTTGAATCTTCCCGAACAATAGTCATCCCCGTCCCTTGTGCGCGGCTTGTCCATATAAACATGGGTGCAGTCTATGCACCCTCAACAGTTCGGGAAGCCCAACGCGTCAAACAACTACATTCTACGATGACGCTCCACAAAACCCCCGAAGCTGACCTTGTTCCGGTAACACGCGATAATGGCCTCAGCCACCTCTTTGATGGCTCGGAGTCCATTGGTTTTGCCCATACCGTACTCGGAACAAGTGTGCCAATGTGAGTCACCGTGCGCCCGCCTGTGGAGCGCATACGCCAATTTTTTCGCAGGATCCAAAGGGACCCTGAACTTTGTCACCTCCCTCTCCAAGAGGGGACCCACCTTTCGCAAAATACGATCGAATGATGACCGCCRCATGCGCAAGAG